TCTCTCTCTCTCTCTCTCTCTCTCTCAAAATTAGACCATATAGAAATGTTTGAATTTTAAATGTTAATTTTAAGGAACCAAGCCTAATTTCGTGTCCATTATATCATAATTAAATTCATAAAATCAATAAATCAGGAAATCGAGTGAATTTAGTTTATCGATAGATTTCTGTCAAAAATATATAAAGAAATATATATTTATAATCGCAAAAAATAACATTGATTTTTAATTTTGCGATCAGTTTTAACGCCTGGAGTGAAGGCAAACGTAACCCAATTTCGTTACTATGAGTGCAGCGGAGAGTCAAAGATAACACAATTGCAGTCCAGCGGCCGATACGAGTCCGACAGTGTGTCCTGCAATGCATTCTCATATGTGGCCAAAAACACCACTTATTCAATCAAAATGGACAATAAAACCACCGAGCTCACGCTACAGCTCAATTCATACACGGTCACTTTGAACGGTATGTGTGCTAATTATAAACATTTATAAAGTGATTAATTAAAATGGATTGTATATTGTGTTGGGCGCAGGCAATGCCATATTCATGTTGAACGGTATGATAGAGTCGGGTCCGTGCGCTGGCGGCCACTTGGATGAGCTGACCTTTTCGGTGGCCGACGACCAAAATGGTTGTCTGTCGGAGAAAGGCCTCCAACAGTCGACTCCTGTCTACTCTATACTCAGAGTAAGTGGCGGTAAATGCGAGTCCGACTGTTCCGGTGGTGTGACCACAGTATACGACCCGCCGATTATCAACAGCTCCGACGATATATCATTCAAAGCCTGTTAATCTCATTTTAATCTCACTTATTGTTTGTCTGTTTAATTATAAAGAATTTTATAATTTATATGAAATTTATACTTAATTTTACAACAATTTTATGTTCAAATGAATTTTTGTCTCATTTCTATCACATGATTGTTATTATCGTTGCTTTTTGTTATGTTTTGCTCTGTTTTTATCTTTTTCCACTCAAAGCCTTCACTTTCTAACACAAAATACAATTAATTAAATCGTTTAATTTTAATTGTTTTAAATACTTTAATTTTGTAAATTGTTATAATAATTTATAATTAAAAATAAGTTTTGTATAAACAAAATAATACTATATTTATTATCACTTTAAATACAACAACACATTTCAAATTTCGCTTAAAATATGATTTCAATGTTGCCATAAAAAATATAGTTACCAAGATTAATTAACAAGTTTGTCATACAGAATAACTTATGACATAACTTAACTTAACTTTGCCTTAACTTAGGCATAACATAACTTTGTTAAACATGCATTAATTTAAATAATTTAAAAATATAATTCATTTAGATGATTTAAAAAATAACTCCCATTACTTGGCTATACTCTGATAGTAATCGATGAGCACTTTCCAGGCGTTTGGGGCCATAAACCCATTCGGAGGTGTTTCGCCCCGTTTGGCAAAACCTCGCATTTTAGTGCCCGATATGAACTCAAAGTCGGCCCCGTTTTCGGGCTCATAAAAAGTCATCGCTTTCTTCACCTTATTATAAGCGGCGACTCTGAAGGGTATGATCTTCAGGCCGTTGAGTCCGGGCGCCCACTGAAGCACTTTCATGCCATGGGTGGGCTCATACAGGTTCTCGCCGGTGATCGGATGGGGAACACCGGCCGGGTCTCGACCCACAATGTAGAAGTTAGCGCCGGCCACTTGCCGGGCCCGGGCGTGCCATTGAACCTCTCGCGGCCCGCCATAGATCATCGGCGATGGAAAAATGGCCATCAAAGTGGTCTTCGGGTCGAGTACTCCGCTCTCGAGGACAGCCTTGTGTTGGTTGATCCGTACGGCCAGCGGCACGTCATCCGATTTGGTCCAACCGCCCAATGGGTGTAACAGTAGTACTGGGTTTCGATAGCCTTTGGCCAACAGTTGTCGTCGGGTGTCCTGCATAAGCAACGCGTGGCCGTTATGTATGGGATTTCGCAATTGAAACGCGAACACAGCGTCAGCCTATCACATATTAATCATGGTTAGTATTGTATTCAAATTCATACCATCATCATTGATCATCATTAATAATAGGCACTTACGTCCATCTCTTTAAGTCTTTGTCGGATCTCATTGGGCGTCAATCGATAGGAGTCGAGTCCGTCCTGCCATCGGATCCGATCAAACACTTTGAGTGCTCCGCCTAACAGCCAATCGCCCGCCTCTGCGATCAGTTTGATGGCCGGATGGCCGACGGCTGTTGTCTTGAATACAGTGGCCATTCGTTCCTCTTTGCGGTGTTCGTAGATCTCGATGTTTTCCAGAAACGCCACCACTTTATCGTTGTGTTTGAGCGCAACCCTAGTCTTCCCATTCAACGCCTCTTTATCGTCATCATTGATGGCCAACACTATGGGCACCGTCTGGTTGTGGAGGCCGTCGTCAACCAATAGACCGAAGTTAAGACACTGAAGGTATTCCCGTTCCCGCATAAAACCCTGTTTAGAAAATTTAAATTACCTTATTTATTATTTTTTCTATTAAATTAATAGTTTATTAATTGACAAACTACTGACCGTCAAGGGAGGCGCCCAACCCTCGGACAGCACTTGAACCCATTGCAAGTCAATGTCTGTGATATTAATTGAGACCATTTGCTCGCAAAGAAGTTTATGTCTGCCGACGAGATCTGTCGGTACGAAGAGTTCCTTCACTTCTTGTTTCATACTTTTGGGCAAAATATTCTTCAAATATAAAATAAATTACAGATTATATAAACATTTCATGAATTCATATCAATTAATCCTTACATTCTTGGAGAGCATATCAATCACTTTCTGGACGCACTCATCGATTGAGTCCACAGCGGTCTTCAGCACCAGATCCGGACTTATGGGCGGCTCGTATTTGGAGGCCATGCCTGTGAAACAGGCGATCTGACCGGCCCTGGCCTTGGCGTACAGGCCCTTCACATCCCTTTGTTCGCACACGTCGTACGGCGTGTCGACAAAGATCTCAAAAAATGCTAATTTACTTTGTTTGTGAAGATTGCGAATGTTTTCCCTGTCCTGACGCAAAGGGCTGATAAGACTGGTCAACACAATGGCGCCCGAGTCGGCAAAAAGTCGGGCCACTTCGGCGATGCGGCGCTGATTCTCGCTCCGGTCCTCTTGGCTGAAGCCCAGCCCTTTGCACAGTCCGTGCCGTATGTTATCGCCGTCCAAAGCATAGGTGAAGATCTTGTGTTTGCATAAAACCTCTTCCAGTTTGAATGCGATGGACGTCTTGCCGGCGCCCGAAAAGCCTGCAGTGGTTAAGGAGTTTGTGGTTTTATTTTTGTTGATAACTATTTGATAGGTATACGGAGTTTGGCGCTAAACATACCGGTAAACCAAACAGTGCAGCCCCGGAATTGTTGCCCATTGCCCAGTACTTCAGCCCTCCGACGCCGGGTTACTCTCTGTTGCTGATAGAAAATGTTTCCCTCCCAGTGCTGACGGCGTTTGTAATTAATTAAATATAATTAATTTTAAATAAATTAATATAATTTTAAAATTTAAGAAAATATAATTATGATGATAAAATGAAACAAAAAAGTTACCTCGTCGAAATATTCTTTCACACCATTGGTTGTGATGTCCACTTCGTTGGCGTTGATATCAATGAATTTGTTTGTGTTATTCATGTTTCTGACAAAAAAGTTTTCGAAACTTTCCCGAAAATTCTATCATTGAATTATATTTACAATTAATTAATTAAAATAAAAGCAATAATAAATATTAAAAATCTAAATTTAATAATACTAAAAGTGAGTACTTTTTGAAAAGTGTTTTTACAATTATATTTTTAATATGGTAAAAACATTACTAGTTTACAGCCAATATAGTTAAATACAATGTATGGGATGTGATAATTACCTTCGGAGCAGATGCTGAGAGAGAAAAGTATTAGGTTTTTACCAAAATGTTTCTTAACAATTACTAATATAAAACTTTGTGAATCAGTTGGTATTGATATTTAGCTTATATAGAAATAATTTGTAAAAAACAAACAAAATTGAGCATGGATACCCTGGCTAAAGCGCGTGTTTAACAATAATTAAAAGTCATTATCACACAATTAGGTAAGTCTTACTATCAGGGATATATTAACTTGAAAGTTACTAAACATATCATGAGTTGGCGCTAAATATTTGCAGCAAATTTGCTTAAATGTGCATTTAATGCATATTTTTGTTGCTTAATTATTTGTAATTAACGTAGGAGATTTCCATAATGTACATACTAATTTGTAGTTTCAAATATAACTATTAATCATATTGTTTACTTGATTATCAAAATCTTAAACACGGATCTTAATAATGATGTCTTTAAATGACGACAATATATGTTTACGACAATTACTTCATTATTATTTATTTCAATTATGTATTTGATATTTAGTTAAATATTTGAGAATTATTTTGAATTTATTTAGTTAATTAATCCAGAAATTAATTGCTTAATAATTAGGGTCGTTCTTCTAGGTTCATTGCTCTGCACTACAGTATCTGTTGTGTGTGTAAAATGCATTTTGCAATTGTTTTGTATTTGTAGTTTTTTTTAATTATCACAATTTATATTAACAATAATAATAAATTTCTTGTAATGTTTGAAAAATATTTACAGATTTTTAAATTTAAAATACAATTTAATGTATATTTTGTTTAGTGTTTCTAATTGAGGAAGTCTTGGCTTAAATGCAACAAAAATTAAACAAAAATATTCACTTAAAAAAGTGAAACTTATTTTAAAACTTAAACATGCAATGAATTGACTGTGAATATCATTGAGTTTTGCAAAAACACAGTATATTTTATAACAAAAATTCAATTTACAATAAAAACAAAACATAAGAATGTAATTAAAAACTAATCTACTTTTTCCCATAGCATTCATATAGCCATCAAAAGTCATTACATGATAATTGAATTACAATTATTTAATACTAACCAAACATTTATAAATAGACAAAATATATAATTAAAGGTAATGAAGGTTAAAAATCAATTGACACTAAAGATACGGATAATAATCAGTAAACGAAAAAACTTAAATATTTAATTAAATTTAATTCAAACGTTCAAAGACTTTGGGAAAGTCGAGATATTGACCCCCTTTTGACGTACTTCTCAATGCGTTTACGTTATATAAACCATATTATTTAAATTACATATGGTTTAAAACCCCCTTTTTCTCCTTATAAATCATACACATGTATTAATAGTAATTAGAAATATTATGGTAAGAATACATTATACCTATAGTTGACGTAAATGTATTAGAAAATAATATGTGTTTAGAAAAGTCATCCTTGTAATTTATATTGGTGTTTATATGTATGGGTAGATCCTTTGTTTTATTTTCTGTAAAGGTGATTTATGAAATAATAAAACATATCGTATGATTCAGAAAGCAATTTATTTTGATCACGATTTAAATTTTTCAGACTATTTTTATAGACATTTGTACAGAATTTTAATGTAATTCTTGAATCCGTCCAAAATTTGATACTAATTTCAACGCAATTAACAACAAAAAAAATTAACTCAAATATAAATACATGTGTTATGTTTGGCGCGAAGTAACTAATGTCTGAATACTTTGATGTAATTATAAAACTTAAATAAAATGTTAAAATATTTTTTTGTAAATTTAAATTTATAAAAATAGATGTAATTTTATATCAAACAGATATACAGTATGTTTAACAAAACAACCAAAAAGTAATCCCTAAGAAAGTGACAAATAATGTATAATGTATTATAAAATGAAATGAAAAGTGGAGCTAAAATTTGCAAAATATATTACTTTTGAAAGTAATATAAATAAATCTTAAGCAAAGGAGAAGTGCATCCGTTGTTAACATTCAATACAATCCTTATCTACAAAATACTTTAAAGAGAGCCGAAAAAATCAATTAATCATTTTGTCGGACAATAAATCCAGTGTTCAATAAAAGAGATGATTATTTACAGCGAAATAAATGTCAATATTTTGTGGTAATATATGTCTAATATTTTGATTGAATACAGAGTTGTGTCAAAAAAATTAGCCTAAATTTTAATATATTTTGTTTGATATACCGCTCAGTATCTCATGATTATAAGACTATTCTTATGGTTTGGATACATTATGGTAGAGTTAACATAAGTTTAGTAATATTGTTTATAATAAATTTAATTTAATTAAAAATAACTTACATGTACACTTTTATGATTTTTTGCCCATAAACATAATTTTTGCTAATTTATTAACTACAGTATTAGAATTTAGTCTCATGTATAAACAATCTAGTTATTTATGAAGTAAATATTTAATTTCAATGATTACTTTTATTTTCTCTCTGTTTTTATCTATATTTTAAATATAATTACTATATTTAGAACATTTTTAATCGCAATAATTAATAAACAGCTAAAATTTATATCATTTTTAAATAAAAAATAAATATTTAATTTAAGTATTCATAGTAACTATATTTTATATTCATAATTTATATTATAAACTTTATAAATCCATATTATTTACAAAACTATTAACTAAAAACTGACTTTTAATTAAACAAGTATATTAAATGGATATTAATTATAATTTAATGTATAATGCTTAAATTTATTATTAAATTAATTTTAAATATCATATTCAGAGCCCATATGAATGAGTAGAAAGTGTGTTATGCAATAAGTATTACAATTGTTATACAGTATTATATATGCGGTGCAAAAATATATCGTTAATCTAAACGACAACTTCAAGGGCTGTCTCTGTCAATGAGAGCTGAGATTTATCGTCGCTTTTATTAATTAGTAGACAAAAGACCAAAAAATAAAATAAAACTTCAAACGACTCGACGACTAGGAGACAAGAATATTCTGTGAAAAATATTAATTATAAACGAGAATATAATCTGTACAAAATTTAACATAATTATTTAACTATTTGTAAAATACACTGCATATTAATTAATATGTGAGCAAATGCTTATACAATACAATAGGGACTCAGATCTCAGCTGCGAAGTCTTAAATATATTCACTAAATATAATCACAAGAGTGTGTTATATGAGAGGCAAACACTTGTGATACTATCGATGGGCAACATTGAAATGACAGCGCAATTTAGTGGCGCATACCATACCATATCATTCATACCCATAACATACTGAATATCTCATACACTATTATACCAATTATAACCAATGCACAGGGATTTTTGTATATATTTATATCCACTTTAAACAACGATTACATCAAAAATATATAAATATTTCTTACATAATACTGAGAGCAGTAATAGATTCCCATTGAATGCATTAATAATTTGCCGATTAATGTATTCACGAATAGCTCTTTGCATAGGAATAACGTTACGCTTGTTATCAAAATCTCTAAGAATATTCTGACATTTAGTAAATGACTTTTATCGTCATGTATTTCACACAAAATTAATTATGCCATACATTAGATAGTATTTAATTAAACAAAACTACAGACATAAAACCATCTGCGATCATATCGTTTAATAAATTAATGAATTAATTAATAATTAATATATTTATTTGTAATGAAATATTTATTAGTCTAATATAATTTCGGTTAGAATTATACTAAACGTTATTAAACGATGCCTTAGATTATTGTTATTAATTACCGGTTGTGTTAATGTGTTAAGTGTTGTGGTGTTTATCTCAACACCAGAAGAGAGAAACACACAACAAATTTGTTATTATTTCGCCAACAAAAATGCAATTATAAGCCACACATGTATTATCTGTTTGTGTGTCACTCTCTCACTCCTGTATCTCATTTGAAGATATGATAAACCCATTGCCTATGTATGCAATAAATTAGTGCAAAACCTAATGAGGAATCCATCAGAAAAATAATATCAAAATGTATTCAACACAATGAGAGTACAGTTTTGTTGCCCGCCGTCTGTGATCTCCTGATATACTTTGTGCCCAACTCTATGTTATATCTGCCAGACATTGTGCCACCCATTCTTGTACTGGTATCCTATGATCCCAATGTGTTTATGTATACAATTTGCTCCACAATTATTGGTTTGCGAGACATAAGGAGCCGTACATTACATACAGTGATAAACAGATAGATAGATGAGATCAACAACAAGAAGAAAAAAGTGAGACAAAAAACACTCTCTCAGTGTTTGTATCGATGTTTTTAGACGAAAGAGAGGGCACCGAAAAAAATATATGTGATATTCCTGTAAAACAGCGAAAGCCGTGTCTTTGAATTTTATTTTGGATTTTGCTCTCAAACTCACACTTTCTCTCTCCCTCTCCTCTGTCTGTCTCTCTTTGACTCTCACTTTCGCTCCCAATCCCTCTCCGCATCGGTTGTACTCTATATATATTTTGTAATATATTTTCATGTTATACATTACAACATAAATTATATTATAACGTTATATTTGCAGTGTATGTGCGCTAAATGTGTGTGAACTTTTTTTTGAAAATTACCCAGATATTCAACACTGATATAATTATATATTTTTTCACCAAACGCCCAATCTCCAATTGTTAAGCATAATTAATGGTAAATTATAATTGAATTACAAGTGCACAACGAGTTGACTTTGAAATAAAACAATATTTTACCTCTCTTTCTAAAACTTCTTGTTTTTTTTTGTTTTGTTTCATTGATTACAAAGTTTACGGTTTTATAATCATTATATAAATTATAGTTTTTATTTTGTTTTAAAAAACATTTTTTGACGGAAAGTGTAATTAAATAACCGGTACTAAGATTTTATGGCAATTATATTTTTTACACACTTTTCATTCGTCCGTAAGTATCGCTTGAATTATATTTTCATTTCATTAAGTGATTTAAAATTACATTTTAAAAGTAAAGCAAAAATATTTCTTATAAAATATATATTACAAAAAATTTTAGTTTAAAAATCATTTCAATTTCAAGTGCTTTTT